CAATTTAAAATAAAAATAGAATAGCACATCCAGTTTTGAAATGACTGCCTAGGAAGGAGTACTGAGGAAAGGAATCTGGAGTCATAGTGGATCACAAGCTAAATATGAGTTAACAGTATAAAACTATTGCAAAAAAAGCATACATCATCCTGGGATGTATTAGCAGGAGTATTGTAAGCAAGAAGTAATTCTTCCGCTCTACTCAGCACTAATTAGGCCTCAACTGGAGTACTGTGTCCAGTTCAGGGTGCCACGTTTCAGGAAAGATGTGGACAAATTGGAGAAAGTCCAGAGAAGAGCAACAAAACTAATGAAAGGACTAGAAAGCATGACCTATGAGGAAACATTGAAAAAATTGGGTTTGTTTAGTCTGGAAAAGAGAAGTCCAAGAGGGGACATGATAACGGTTTTCAAGTACATAAAAGATTGTTACAAGGAGGAGGGAAGTAAATTGTTGCTGTTAATCTCTGAGGATAAGAAAAGAAGCAGTGGGCTTAAATTGCAGCAATGGCAGTTTAGGTTGGACATTAGGAAAAGCTTCCTAACTGTCAAAGTAATTAAGCACTGTAATAATTGCCTAGGGAGATTGTGGAATCTATATCATTGGAGATTTTTAAGAGCAAATACCTGTCAGAGATGGTCTAGGTAAGATGGACCTGTCACGGTCCATTCCTATGACTCTATGATTACATTTAAGCCCACTACATTTTAGCCCACTGATATATTTGTACAAGGCCCTTTTTTATTTCTCTTAACCGCTATGCCTAACATTGATTCAGCTTCCTTTTTTACTCTGTCATTCTCTTCCAGCCTTAACTGACCCTTTCTATCTGTGTTTACTTTCCTCCAGGCTTCTCTGTTTCCAATACACATTTTGCCTTCAGATCTTTGAGGCAGTCTGTTATAAAGCCACACTGGCCACTTCTTGTTCCTTTAAGACTGAAAGGGATTATTTAGGGTACGTCTACATTACCCGCCAGATTGGCGGGTAGTGATTGATCTATCTGGGATTGATTTATCATGTCTAGTGTAGACGTGATAAATCAATCCCCGATTGCTCTGCCATCGACTCCTATACTCCACCGCGGCGAGAGGTAGAAGCGGAGTTGATGGGGGAGCGGCAGCAGTTGACCCCACGCTGTGAGGATGTGAGGTAAGTCTACCTAAGATATGTCGACTTCAGCTACGCTATACTCATAGCTGAAGTTGCATATCTTAGGTCGACTCCCCCCCACCCCAGTGAAGACTAGGCCTCAGGTGTTTATATCCTTCAGCAGTTTGTGGATAGTTATAATGTCCAACCTTGGTTGGTACATACCATAATTGAGCAATATATATTCAGTGCTTTAATATTTTCTGGTAAGTCAGTCTCTACAGGCCCCTGATCATTTTTGCTTTTCTCTGAATTGCATTCAATTTGTCAATAGTCTTTTTTCATCCTGAGGTCCCCAGTGCAGTATTCCAGGTGTGGTTTTTAATCTGAGCTGTTTACAGAAGAACTATTACCTCCCAGCTCCATCATGCCCTTGCTTATGCAGCTGCAAATCACACTGTCCTTTTCTGCTGCCATGTCATGTTGCAACTGTGTGCTAACTTGCTGTTCTCTGTCAGCCTTAGGCTCTTCCCACTGTATCTGCTTTCAAAGGGTGTCCCTCCAAGATCTGTATCTCATCTTCTCTTTAACTGTTTTGTTTTATTTATGCTACTTTGCAGTTTTCCAAAATTGTTTTTATTTCCTGCCTTAATTTCTTACCACTCTTTGTCTGATATCTGTCCTTTTTTATGTTCGCAAAACATTCCAGTTTAGTAGCATCTGCAAGTTTTATTAACATCTTGTTTACTTCCTCTTCCAAAATATTAATGATAGTTATAAATAAAACAGGTTCGAACACCAATCTTTGCACAAGCCACTAATTGCCTTCTTTGATCTTAATACACTGCAGTATATCTTTATTCATTATATATTTGCAGCATGTCAGACCCTCTGCTCTGAGGTGAGTTTAAGACTAGAACAGGTCTATATTTTATTTTCCAAAAGGAAATCCAACCACACTAGAAGATTTTCACCATTAGGGCCACGTTCCAATCTTGGTTACAGCTGTGTAAAACCAGAGTGACCCTGTTGGATTCGCAAAAAGAAAAGGAGTACTTGTGCCACAAGTACTCCTGTTCTTTTTGCGGATACAGACTAACACGGCTGCTACTCTGAAACCTGTTGGATTCGATAGAGGTATTCCAGGTCTACAATGGTGACTGAGATCGGATCCTGGAGTTGTAACTAATAGTGTGGAATGAAGTACCTAATGCTCGGGGGATTCAATTCTCTAGAGTTAAGCTGCTGCAAAGTTGTTTTATCAAAGCAATTAGTGTAATCTGTAGGTGGCAATTGCTGGAAAGTGTGCGCTAACCAAGCTATCTTCACTGGCAGGTACAAGGATTACAGAGAACCACCTTGGTCCCCAAATCCGTATGAATTTTCTAAGCAGTACTGGTCAGTTTTATCTGCTCGCTTGGCTTTTGTTATTCTATTTCAGGTAAGTCTTTTGAGTTTACCATATTACAATTTCACTCACAAAAGCACCTGTGATAAGCTAATGTATGTGTATGGTGCATGCAGTTCATCTTGCCTGTACACTACAGGCACTGGCACCATCAGTACCGCTACACATGCGCATCCATAACATTTGAGATTCAGGATTCTAATCTGTGCAGAGCGCTAGTATCCACATCACAAAAACTTCCTTCTTAGCAGAGAAACTGAGGATGGAATGAGCATGGAGATTTGTTGGTCTTAGAGGTGGTCTTTTCAGGTCACGAATGAAGCACAATGGAGGGACAATGTGCGGTGGATGCTTGTATTGCTACTGCCCATGCAATACTTGCTCTTGGGATAGAGAGCTTTGGTTTCTACCAGCTAAGCCGTTGGGTGCTGAGTACCTTTGAACATGTGCGTGGAATAAGCCTGCAGGGCCACTTGAGCCCCAATTCAGCAAAACACTTAAGCATGTGCTTAAGTCTATCCTTATATTTAGGACAACACTTAAATATGCATTTAACTCATCCATTCTGTTCAGTGGGAGTTAAGCACATGCATAAGTGATTTCTTGAACTGGGACATTTTCCTGAATCAGAGCCTTATTTAGGTGCCTAATTTCAGACAGAGCTTAAACATGACATGTTTGAATGGTAATATGCCACTGGGTTGATGGGGCATTTCTAAGTATTCCGTAGCTGAGGTTTGAGTCTGTTACAGCCTGTTTGAGTATTACAGACCCTTCCAGCCTAGCTAGCATTGTATGCTCTATTGCTCTTTCTTTTGCAGAACCTGGTCATGTTCCTCAGCGCGCTGGTTGACTGGATGATTCCTGACATTCCCAAGGACATCAGTGAACAAATCAAAAAGGAGAAGAGTATGCTTGTTGATTTCTTCCTGAAGGAAGAGCATGAGAAGCTGAAACTGATCGAAAGCTTTATCATGCGTGACAAGCACCGAAACAAAGGCGAGACAAAGGGCCGAAGGAACCGAGCGGCAAGCTTCTGCCAGTTTAGCCGGAGTCAGCGAGGCAGCTTTACATCCTTTAGCTCACAGCACACAGAAGTATGACTCCTTAGGGGGAGGAAATGTACCATGGAACATGTGCGATACCTGTATACTTACTGTGTGATGTGATCCTGAAACTGGAGGGAGGGAGGGAGGCACTGATAGGCAGGGAGAGTGGAGAAGGGAGTCTGTCACTTCTCAAGAAACTTCAGGTGTAAGTTTCTCTATAACATTTTATACGCTATCCGGGCTGCAGCGCTTTCAGCGTTATTCAATGCAAATTAAAGAGCCAGGTTATGGCTGTGGCTGGCCCTTGCACAGAAGCATGGGAAATGGGGAGGGCAGAGTACAGCGTCTAGCACAATAGAGTTCTGGTCCATGGCAGGATCTCCTCGGGCTACCATAATATCAGTAATCAGGAGCCCTCCCCACTCTTGCATTCTCGGTGCCAAGACCAGCCACAATCCCAATCCCTGCACTCTCCTGAGTGCAAGGATTGCTACCTGCTAACATGCCCCTAGGGCAATATGTACTCCAAAGAGTCTTGGGCAATAGACCCTACCACACATGTTTCAGCAGAGCTGGCCAGCCACAGAGGGGGCTGAACTTTGCATCCTCTCAAAGGATGTAGCAATCAACACATTCTCTCTGCACACCCGGAGGCTCTAGGAATCATTGTGCCTTCGTGATGCACAATGCCTCTTGGTGCTCTTACTGCAGTGGGGCTCGCCACAGCACCCCCGATGCAGAGCTATGGTTAAAGGCGCAAAATAGCAGGAAGAGAAAAAAATTAAGATTACTGAGCACTTTGGCCTACAGTTGTTGGCTTAGCAGGAGCCTGAATAATAAGCAGAGACAGATCACAACATAAGCATCTGAAAGAAGTAAAGATGATAGAACTAGCTAAGCACATCGCTGTTTGTTGTTCTGAGCAAAATACTCTGGGCCTAATTCACCTCTCACTTAAACTGGGACTTCAACTCCAACTGGTGTCGATCTGAAGTAACTCTGTTGATATCAACAGTGGTGTAAAACTGGTATAAGTGAAAGTAGAATGAAGCCTTGTAACTCGTGACAATATCTTCATGTATGTTGCTCCAGAAATAACAAAAAGTTGCTGTTGTGTATTTACTGTAAATCAAGATGTTGTTATGCATAACTGTATTCTACTGAGAGAGGAAAAACAGGTTCACTAATTAGGTTTTTATCTAAATGCACCTAATGAATAATTTTATTCTGTTATGGATTAAGAATAAAACTTTCTTAAAAAATGTATTGCTTTTAATAGACCTTCTGAATCTATCTCAACTCAAAGCACATGTAGAGGAATCTCTCCTAACATATACTGCTGCACAGAATGCTTTGGAAACAAAGAAAGATCATGCTGTTTCAGATGGGGCAACTTAGAAATTTCTATGATCTGACTGGATTTTTTGTTTAAATCTCCAAGATAATTTCATATATAGTCCTGGAGTCTTTGAATTTCACCTGTCCATCAGGAAGGAAAAATTGCTTTTTAAAAAATGACTCATTGTAACACAATGACATTCACTCAGCCCGACAGGTATGCATTTTAAGGTTGCAGGAATGTGCAGTATTATAGCATCTGACCTCATCCTTACTTGAAAATCTCTTCACACAATGTCGTGAATATAAACTACTGGCTATGTCTATCTGCTGTTTCCAGTTTACTGAGATAAACAGGCAAACTACAGGAAAAGATCATTTTGATTTAAAATAATCTACCCCCATCAACATAGTGTCTGAGCCCTTTAAAATCTTTAACACATTTATTGTCATAAAACCCCTGTGAGGGAAGTGCTGTTATCCTGATTTTACAGGTGGGAACTTAGGCACAAAGAGACTTGCCCAGTGTCACCCAGGAAATCTGTAACAGTTGGGATTTGAAGCTTGGTCTCCTCACTCTTAAGCTATCAGCAGAACTGCTGGACCATCCTTAGTCACGAATTAATATTGCATTATTTCACTTTCCAGAACTCTAGGATTCCAAGAAGGCCTACCAAGGCTTCACATTTGACAATAATATAAATGTCCATTGTTTACCGTTATTTGTACTATGTGGTATTTTGATAGTAGCTTTGTGGGTTTGGAGTATTACACCTGGGATTTACATCTGTGGCTGACTGAAACGCAATTAATTTTTATCACATTGTTAGGCCTCCATTAGGAAGAAACTGGATTTGCCATACAGCGTGAATACAGGCCAGTTGAATATGTTGGGGCTAATGTTGCTCATTTAGATATTTGGTAGTGTGTATGCAGAAATGGGTTTAAAAGGGGATTTATAGGTCATGTGACACCAATTCCATCAATCAATAGCTGGATTAAACCCATTCATCTGACCAATATCGCTATTATTTTATAAATATTCATCAGAGGCTTAAGCTGCCAGACTGTGCTCCATGCTGCCTGAAGAAACTGTAAAGAAGGGAATCTCACTGTTTTACAGTAAATAAACCTGTTCTCCAGAATATACCATAAATTCAAAATCTCCCCTTAAAAGGACACTGTTACAGTTTTGCAGTAATTAAAATTTAACAGTTCAGGTTAGGTAATGGCTTTAAGTACAATCCCTCTTTTCAAATGCTTATAATTTATGGGGGGAAGAGGGGTGGGGAATCTTTGAGGGCTGAAATGTTCCATGCTTGTTCTCAGTGATGAAGTAATTTTATTTTTAACTAAAAGTTTGAGCAAAATCTCATCATCTATTCCTGAACTATTGGAGTGTGAGAACATAGGCCAAGATTTTCTAAAAGTGACTAATGATTTTGGATGCCTCCATTTTTAGGTGCCCAAAGCGGTTAACACTTTATTGGAATCTAGTGTTCATAGTTGGGACGTGCTTTCTGAAATTGGGCCTCCTTAAGGTGACTGAAGTTGGGTGCCCAAAATTACTAGTCACTTTTCAAAGTGGTGGCTAGGGCGTGCCCTTTTTGGCTACTCAAAAATTGGTGAAACAATTCCTTCACAATGCCACATATATTTAGCCATGGTTGTTATGTAGAATTTGAAAAAGTCATGAGCAACTGAAAGAGGTGGTCTGGGTTAAAAGAGAGAATGCATTTCAACCTTTGCAATAAGAGCTATATATGCACAGATATACATTTACCCTCTCAAAGTTCTCCTGAGGCTTATATACCTCACCCAGACAAGACTGGGAAAGAATTAAGGTAGCAATCGCAGCTATAAGGCAGACATTCTGATTGGAACTATGCTGATATTGCAACCAGGGCTGACAGCTCATCTGTCTTTATCTGTGATATAGTTTCTATTGTATCTTGAACCTGAACGTTTCATTCATCAGGAATCCTGCAGGTTTGGTACTTAACTTTGGTGCGGTCCCTAAGGATTAGACACATGATTGCATTCCCATGGTAACCTCTGGCTTTTCCTGAGACTGCCTAGGAAAGTTTCCCATCCACTCCTGTAATTGTAGATCACTGATTTGTTCTTTATTTATTCCCAGTTTCTAACTTATCTCTTTCCCACAAAGCAAGACTTTATCTAATTCCTTTTTATCAGCATGATACGTGTAAGTCTACCCATAAAGTGCCTCCTTACCATAACTCATGTCTCTGAAGTACAGAATGATTCTGTTTCAAGAGGTGCACATGGAAAGCTGCCTCTGGGGAAGAAAAGACAGGAATGCGAGTAGAACCAGAAAGAGGTAATAAAACCTGTATACTATTGTCACTTCCTGCTATTGCAATGAAAATGATCCAAATCTCTGTGCAAAAAAAAAAAAAAATGCAGCAGAGATTTCTGAAGAAAGCTTAATGTTTTTAAAAAAATTAAAACTTCAAACAATGGGAACAAATAATTAAGTGTTCATGCAGGGCGATGTTCATAGAATCCTGTATAGATCCAGCTGGTCAATGCAAATCTAAATTAAATGTGACAAACCCTTTGTTAACACACTGTTAATATCACACAGTTGAGGACCAAAAATGCAGCAATAGCTTGGTTGTGTTTCACAGCCTGTATATTTTATGCTATAAATTTAGCTCTGAGTATAGTAATACACCTCTACCCCGATATAACGCTGTCCTCGGGAGCCAAAAACTCTTACTGCGTTATAGGTGAAACCGCGTTATATCGAACTTGCTTTGATCCGCCGGAGTGCGCAGCCGCCCCCCCCCCCAGAGCACTGCTTTACTGCATTATATCCGAATTGGTGTTATATCGGGTCGCGTTATATCGGGGTAGAGGTGTATGTGAATCTACACCTTTAACCAAAAAGCAAAAACAAAAAGGAGGACACACAGAGGGGTGTGTTGTGCCCTCTGTTTGGCCCTAAAGCAGACATAGCTGGCCACAGAGGATACCCCCCTCGATAGGAGAATCCTCAAGTAGCATAGCAGTTCCCTTGCCACTCATTCTCTCTGTGGTCCGTGAAAGCATATAGCCAGGTGAAGGGGGACATGTCCAGGGCTTCCCTGCTGTCTGGCATCCCAAGTTACTGTGATTTCTCTTTGGGGCTATTGACAGCAGTGTAATTTGGAGCAGCCATCAGGAATTAACCAGGAGACTAAACCAGTCGAGGATTGGAGGAGAAGCTGCCTCTGCCTTTGCACGCTGCTCCTGAGTTGCTCTGTGAACTCCTCAGTAATTTAGTTGCAGAATCCTCAGGATCTGAGTGGGTAGATTCCTCCCACCCACCCACAGTGCTGGTCCCCAACCCTGCATAAGGGCTACCAAGAGGGAAATGATGCTACAGAAATAGCACTTATCTCTGCCACACCTCCTGGGTAAAGTTCCATCAGCTTTTCAGCCTGTCCGCCAGCAGAGAAGCAGGTGACAATTTGGCGTGGTGTCTTTACCCCGTCCAGTGTTTCCAGTATGTGGAAAATGTTGCTGTCTAGATATATTCTTGTGCACTTTGACCTTGCATGACATCTAAAGTCAGTGAAATATAGTAAAAGAATATAAGAGAACTACGTGGAAGTATGTTTGTTAAATTATTGCTTGGAAAAGTCCAACTCAACATGCCCACTGTTAGCGATAAATTCTTCTGAATACAATAATGTAACATCTGTCACTGT